TGTTTTCTTCATTAGGGTCACAAGCTTTACAAGACTTCCTTTGAAGTGTTGAAATGTTTGGGAGAGGAAACAAATCAGTACATGACACTTGGCTGATAGAAGGGATTACAAACGCCCCTTAAGTTTATATAACAAAGCGTTTCAAATGCATTTGAAACTTAAGTAATGGTTTTGATGGATTGGGTTTTAAGTGTATTTTGTCATAAGTGAGATATCAAAGAACATCAAGATGTTCATCAAAAGATGTGTTTAAACATGTCTTTCAGGTAACCTCACTAATGTGAGCAGGTAATTTCTGGCGAGGAGATGGGCTGCTATGAAGCAGGAGTATAAATGACTTTGTTAGGTGAAGTGCTTCCCATATCTGCAAGATACATCAACTGCTTCCCTGCTTCTTCATGGATATACAGGAGTATTTCATGAGAACCTGGTGTTACCCCAGCCTCTTTACTGTTGCCATTGTGAAACTATGGAATTTCTTGCTGGTCTTGTAAGTTGTACACACAGGAAAAAAAAAAGCATACAGTTTCTATTTAAAAAAGAAAAGTGTGAGTGCTTTTAAATKACACATGCTTCACAGTTTTTATAAAAGCAGAATATTTTCTTCAGATGAGGTGATCCTAATCTGGGGCTACACATACCAGCGGATGTTACTGTCGGGATTTCAGCGTGTTGCAGGACATCCATGGCTGATGTCCCACATCTGCAACTGGTTTGTTGTAGAAGACCTGATATATCATGGGTGGGAGGCTCAGTTCACAGCTGCTGACACTGTGTCCTGATCTCTTTCCCATTAGTGTTTTGCCAGCGGGTGTCATGTTCATTGATGATTTACGGTTTTAAAAAGGCAGTCAAAAGTCCGGGGGGTTGGTTTGCATTAAACAAATGTAAAGGACAGATGCAGAGCAGGGATGACAAAAGACACTTCTTTTAATCTACAAAAGTTTATAACACAGACCAGACTGAGAAATGGACTTCATGTCTTAGGTAATGGGAGCAAGAGCAGACACAATAGTCCCTGAGTAAACGGATTAATAGACTGATCAGAGCAGCATCCCGAGATGAGCTGGAATTCAGCACCGTCCTGCTTTTGTCAGCGGCACTTGAGCATCAGCTTCCCCTCTTTACAGCTTGTGCCATGGGTTAAAGTGCCAGGTGCCTTAGGGCTTCTTYCTGGACCTATGGATTTCTGTTGGAAACAGAACTTGAGTTACAGTTTAGGTTAAAGGTGGGATCACAGTCCCACTAATGTTTGATACTACAGTAACATTCTTCTTTTAGCAATAAGAGATTCCATTTAGTGCCAAATGATGCAATTTAAAATGTGCTGTATTCTCTAGTCACATTCATATTTGGATATACTGGCTTTGAGTGGAATCCTGATTAATATGGAAAGGGTCAACAATCTGACTCCATTCTGAGACTCAATTTTGTCTCTGTATCATTGGCTTTTTTTTTTTTAATCTTTCACAAAGAACTTTAGTTCCAAGGAACGTCTCCCCTTTGCCAAAATTCCACAYGATCCTGCCTTCAAGGAAACAGACCCATTTATAGCCGCCTGGAAGAGCCTTTTTAAAGCACATTTCTGGTACCAGTAATTTTAACCCATGAAAGGTAAATGGAAATGAATTGTTCCTTGAACAGATTATAAAAGCCATGTTTCACTTGCATGTTTATTAATTAATGAGATGCCAGGTAGCCAAGTTATGCATGCGTATACTAAAGCAGGTATTCTGTCTCACATTAAATAGTGCTTGTTTGGGCAGCTATCAGTTGCTTCTTATTCCATGCTCAGTATTTGTGAACATGCTTCAGAATTAAATAACAAGATCCCACTGCAGCATTTTGCAATTTTTCTGCAAAATGGAAAACATACCTTCACATGAATTTTAGTTATAGTAGTTTGGGTAGTTTGGGCTGTAACTTCTGATTTTTTCCTTTGTTGTTGTAGATTTTTTTATGCGCGCACGCACACACACCTACCCACACCCCATGCAGAAAAGCATTTATAACTTAAAAACATAGAGGATCAGATATTTTGAGCTAAATGCCTTAATGTGGGTTCCCCTAGCTCACACTTACTCTGTAGAAGCACCAAATACTGCTGTCCTGTAGGTTAATGAATACATGTGTAAATATATAACCAGTCACTGAGATGCCTTTTCTTTAAAATACTTCTCCCCCAGCTTTGTTAAAACTGCTCTTTACCTTCAAGTATTTTTAGGAGGAAGGAGGGGAAGGATTGTTTTATACAATGAAGGCTGTTCCTGCTCCCATACAGAGATCTGGTTTGTCCAAAATGAAAAATGTCAGTGATTCTTAAGGATGCTGTGGTTTGGATTTTGCAAAGTTCTAAATACTTGTTGTTTCATCCACTTTTTTGTTTGTTTGTTTGGGGAGAAGAGAAGGTTGCAAATAACCAAAGCAGTACTTCACATGCAAGTTTAAATTTCACACTCTTTCATAATGCGTTTGCTTTTCTGTCTAAATCTTGACGTGCCCTTGGAGACCATCCTGCCTTGGTTTTGCAGCATCTTGGCCTCTTTTCCAGCACTTGCCTTTTTTGTTCCTGGCAAGGCTYCCTCTCGGCTCCCCAGTCAAGCACATGAAACTGTGGATGCTCTGAATAAAATTGCATCCTATGACCATCATGTGAGCAGAGCTGCTCTAGTGTTGTTAACTGCTCTGCAGTTACTGACTGCTCTAGTGTTTCTGCAGTAGGCTACAACTACTTTGAATGGTTTAAGAGCCTGTATTGCTGCCTCAGAATTCGGCCCCCGTTTAAACTGCATTCCATTGAATTTCCAGTGTTCCAYGGAAATGCCATGATTTAAAAAATACTGTAGGTTGAGCAAAGTCTGGACCACTTAAGTCTTCACTGCTTGCCAACTTGAGTGTCTCTCTCTTTTCTATCATGCTATGAGTTTGTTGCTTATAAAAGATACATTTCTACTTCTTCATTCTTAATCTTATTTGCAGGATTCTCTTTGGAAATCATAGCTAAGAAAGGCTATATATATTTTAGAATACTTTTGTGTCTTATGGTGTGACCAGTACATCAATAGCAGGTTTTTAATGCTCTTCAGTAAGATAACATGAAACAAAAGGCAACTGAGACTTTTCACGTTTATGGCTAAAACTCTTTCCTAAATAGAGTTAAAACAAGTCTTAAATGTGTAAATCTTAAATTTCTGCCAGAAAATGCCGTGTTAATTGTGAGACCTGTTTCTGTGTTAAAATTGGTAATATTAGAAACTGCTTTGCCAGCACAGCTGTGTGAAGGAGGGCTGAAGGGCATTAAGATACTGTGAGATAATGATAGTGGTTTAACTCCCATTACTTTAAGATCCCTCCCAATCTTAAATCTTTAAAATAGATATATAAATATCCAGTTAATGTAGAAATGCAGGCAATGTGCTGGGACAAGGTGTTTGGAAATCACTCCTATTGTAATGTTTGAGGACACTGTTGGCACAGGAGGATCCCGCTGGGAGCGTAGGAGTGCCGGGCATCGCTTTGCCCAGGGTTTGAGCAGGGTCATTCTGCTAACACTCTGCTGCAGCTACACAGCTTTCACAGACCCAGCACCAGGGTCTTGCTTTAATGGCTCTGTTGGCTTATGTCAGCTTGAGATTTATGTGAAAGGCTATTTTAGCATGAAGCCAAGTCTTTAGCTCAGCCTGATTGATTTGCATACAGATCTGTTATTTATAAATTTTAAAGAATCTTGGGAGTTCCCTTTTGTCAATTAAGAGTCTTAACATACCAAAGTAGTTGAGAAGAAAAACAGCACACGTGGTAACTCATCCTTCACAGCACAGCATCACAGAATGGTTGAGGTTGGAAGGGACCTCTAGAGAGCATCTAGTCCAGCCCCTCCTTGCTTGGTTTCAAACAAATTTTGCCATGGGGGAGTTTTGAGATGCAGTATTTGTTGCACGGGCATTCTGTGAGGAGGTGGTAGATTTGTTCTTCATGATGGTTGTATCGACCACCTCAGATGGTGGAGCTGGTTGCCAAGATTTTGACTTCACTCACSCTTCCATAGGAGGTACTTTCCCATTCAGTTTGTGCAGTATTTCTTGAGGTTCTCCAACTTCACAAACACAGTTGACTTGCAGTGGGTTGTAGATGTGGTAGAATGAGGTGGGCAGGATGGGTTTGGGCTGACTTAGCAAGGAGGGTGCATCAGATGTGTGTGCTGAGTCCTGTGGGGTCAGTGGCTGCACCTGAGATGACTCTAGTTCAGACTCGTATTATTTTTTGTCACTAAATCTCTGCAGTTGCTTTAAAATGCAAGGGTGAAAGTGTCAGCTTGTTAAACAGCGGGGATCTTTATAGGAGCTCCCTGCTGACACCGGGTAATCTCTCTTGTGCTTTTAATGGCGAACGTCCCTCTTGTCGGCATTCAGAGCCGGGTGTGTTGGGAAGCAGGAGCTGCTCGTGTTTGTTTTGAGAACTGTCCCTTGGCATTTATTCCCTTGCCCTTCTTTAAACAAAAACTAACCCTCTGCAACTGTATTATTTATCACGGTCCAGCTTTTGCACTTGAAAGGAGTACAGTGTAAGAGTAGTCTAAGGGGGATTTTATATGTATAGACCTGGCAATTACTATATTAAGTGTAATAACTCCCTCAATTATTAACCTTTTCATTAGAACACCCAAATACCAAGTCTATGATCTAAGGATGGTCCTAGAAAAAAGATTGGAAGCTGGACTTTTTCAGCATCTTAAACTGGTCCTGAAAGCATTTGGCAGTTTGATGTGTGAAAGCACCACTGCTAGGGAGTATTGCATCTGTCTATCTCTTTGGGGCTGTAAAATTTTAAAAGAGATTGTTTTTTTTCCTGTGTGAAATGGGAACCATTTTTTAATCTTCAAATTTTTTCAGGACAGCAAAACCAATTCCTGTCAACCTCTTCCCCTCCGTGTACGTGCACAGGCATTGCTCGCTCGCCCTCGTGAAGTTTCACCAATTGTTTCTTTTTCTTTTCTGCAGATTTGTCACGGAACAGGCTGTCAGAGCTCCCCGCAGAAGCCTGTCACTTTGTCTCCCTCGAGAGCCTTAATTTGTACCAAAACTGCATTCGATACATCCCAGAGGCCATTCTGAACCTACAGTCTTTAACATTTCTAAATATCAGGTAATCTTTATCGTAAATACCTTAATTTAGCATCAGAAGTCTGGGTTTATGCATCTTGGAACATTAATAAATAACACAGACGTGGTGTGCAACCATTGTGGTGTTTTACTGCACGTCCCTGAACCAAAGCAGTGTGAACCAGACTTAGCCTGATYGGGGAAGATGATGATTAAGAAGCAGAAAATGAAGAAGACAGCGTAATTCCATTCTAAAGGACTCACAAAATGAGTTTCAGTGATTTTTTTCATGTGAAATAGAGACATGCTGATGGAAAAGAGAGGATGGACTTATTGGATAGTCCTTATTCATCTCTCAACTGCTAAATAAGGCTTACTGAATTTCCATTTACGTTGGCTGTACTATTGGCTTTTAAAGAGCTTTCTCCAGCATTAAATACATGCTCATCTGCTTATACCAAAAGCTAATTGCCACAGCAGAGGCTGATGAAATTCCACTGTGTATGGAATTGTCTCTTTCTAGAAACAGTGTTTTAAGTGGTGTGGAAAGTTCCTAGTCAGAAACTGGCAGGGATGCCAAGCAAGAAAAAAAAATCAGGCAATTTTTTTTCTTGCGTTATATTTCGTCATTTGAATTTGTTTGTGTTTCTTTATTATTAGTGTTATTATTAACGATAAGAATTGCAGGAATAGGATATGAGTCAGCTATGGATTTCCTATTGCTGTGATCTCTAGCAGGTGCAGTCCAATTATTGTCCTTTTAGCAGCTGCAGTTGGTTCACCTACTGCTCAGAACTGGTTTTCTTCTAGCCAGGGAAATGTAGGCTTCAGTCATGAAAAGAACTAACACTATATTTTGGTAAACATCAGCATCTGGCTTTGTCCTGAGTTAAAATCAGAATAACTTTCTGATAGTCCAACCGCTACCGCTTGCTATGTTTTATTTTTAAAGAGAAGCTTTTTGTTTTTATAAACCATTCTCATCCTGTCTGATTCATTCTGTGAGGTTACAATCCAGTCATATGGCCTCACGTTTGCTTTAATAGCAGTTTATTACAAAATGTGCAACACTGGGTTTTGAAACAACCAAATCCCTTATATCACGATTCTTGATCCACGTGACCTACTGAATAGTTACAGTATATTTCTAATAGAGTAAATAATGACTTCCTGTATGGARTTTGTATGTGTTGGCCTGCAATAGTAGCTATCTGAAAGGATTTCATGCTGTGTTCAAATATACTGGGTTGTAACAGAGCGTAATCAGTTAACAGAAGCACCTGAAAGCACCTGAAARTGCTGTGTTCCCCACACGTGATTTCAAAAGAATCCAATCAGTGTTAGTACCTCATCCTGAGAGTTTATTCACACAAAACTGGAAAAATCAAGTGACGAAGGAGGCTTCCTGACACTAATTTTACAGTAATAAGAGAGCAGTTGAGCTGATGAAATTATTAAGATTTGCTTTCTGTACATCTTTCATTAAAGTAAGGCATGAGGTGATTTTGCACTACAGTGATATTATGATGAATTTGTTTTCTTTCTGTCCAAAAAGTCGAAACCAGCTTTCCACACTGCCAGTGCACCTGTGTAATCTACCACTAAAAGTTTTGATAGCCGGTAATAATAAGTTGGTCTCAATACCCGAAGAAATCGGACAGCTCAGACAGCTGACAGAGCTTGTGAGTATGCAGGGTTTTTTTAATTATTGCTGTTTGGTCTTTAATTTATGTGTTTAGTAGGTTTATATGTGTTTCAGAAGAAATAACCTTTTTAGCTAATTAAAAATAATGTCATTGTATCTCCATCTTTTTTTTTCTTTTGACTTTGCAATAGAGATATTAGAAAAAGAATATGAAATATTATGAGAGACTTAAAAAAATCTGATTTAGATGGGGGAAAGATACTTTGCATTGGAGAATAAATAATCCACATCAAGAGTTTTCCCTACTTTTGAGAAAGGCTATAAGGAATTAGAGCTCCTGGTGCATTTTATTCTGGCACCAAACCTTCATATGGGAGGTTGCACCCTCTCAAATACCATCAAGTAACTTAAGTAACTTGAAATAGGCTTACACATCTGAATGCTTAATTTTTTTTTTWAAGTTTTTATTCTGCCATGTATTTAAGATGAAAGTAATGCCTCAGCTCAGAAATGAGCTGAGAATATAGTAAGTCCAAGCATCCAAGGTATTACATAAATCGTCGTTGCTCTTTCAATCCCTAAATAAAGCRCCATGCCTCATAGTTAAGCAACTTGCCAGTTAGTGGTAATAATGTCAAAACTGCTAACTCTTTATTCTTGCTTTGTAGGATGTGAGCTGTAATGAAATACAGACAATACCTCCCCAAATTGGCAGTCTGGAGTGCTTGCGTGACCTAAATGTCAGAAGAAATAATTTGGTGCGTTTACCTGAAGGTGAGATAAAGGCTGTCGGTTGTAACAGCGAAACCTGAACCCTTCCAGATGCTTTTTAATGTGTGGGGTTTTTYTTAATCTTCTCTTGAGAGATGGATGCAGGTGCATTTAATTAATCATTTTGTAAACACACTACTGAGTTTGTTGTTTGTTGTTGCTCCTTACTTTTAAACCTGCTGACCTAGATATTTATTTTCTATCTCCAGAGCTTGCTGAGTTGCCTTTGATTCGGTTAGATATCTCCTGCAATAAAATAACAACAATCCCCGTTTGTTACCGGAACCTCAGACATCTGCAAACCATCATGTTAGAGAACAACCCCCTCCAGTCACCCCCTGCACAGGTAAACTGCAGCCAGCAATTGGGATTAACATTTTATCTGAAAAGATTATATTAGAGCCTTTACTTAAGAACAAGAGGAGTTTAAATAATGTTTATGTACAGTTGTAAATGTACATCATAATTTGGAGGAGCTTTTTCTTCCCGTACTGTTGGCAGTAGATTCTCCTTTATGGGGTTGTACCTAGAGTCCCACTGTGAGCATCTTGCTAATATTAGCTGAAGATTTCTAAKAGCTTTAGTTTCAGGAGAGCTATGGGAGGGAAGAAACAACTGTTAGGCCAGATTGGCTTGGTGCCACTCAAATGTTAACATTTAGCCTGAGGACCCAGTTCTGCTATGTATCCTGTTTCATTCTGCAGTAGTGTGCTCACATCAGCCTTGGGGCTAGAAACTGCAATATGGTTAATGGCTAAATTAAATTGTTATGTGAGTGTATAAGCCCTTCAGTACTAAAGATTCCACTAGGARCTGCTGCTTCTGGATCAAGAGTGGCACATGTTAAAACCTGTAGTTTCCTCCTCGCTGTAGAATGCAAAACCAGCTGCCATTAGCYTCATTCACTTCCAATTTGAGCGTGCTTTGGCAGTCTGCCACTGCTATTCAGATTTGGGCATGGGTGGGAGGCATCTTTTCTGATGCCAAGGCAATAAATTCTGGTGTTTATAAATGCTTGCGTCGTTTGCCTGGTGAAATCTCAGTATTCAGATGCTGAAGTTGGATGTGGAGCAGATGTATGTGGAAAACAGCTTCCATTTGTTTGTCGTGGGCTCCCCGTGACACTCCACTGTAGCTGTTTCTCTAAAATGCAGCAGAGTTAGAAGAAAAGATGTATTGATTGATATAAATGTGCTCATTGATTACTCTCAACAGCAGTTTAAGTGTCTTTAGACTTAAGTGTCTTTAGAGTACTTTGGAAAAGTACTGTGGAGTTATACTTACTTTTGTTTGCTTATTTGCTGTTTATTATTATTTTTTTTAGATATGTATAAAAGGAAAAATTCACATATTTAAATACCTAAACATAGAAGCATGCAAGATAGCTCCAGACTTGCCTGATTATGATAGGAGACCCATGGGGTTTGGATCCTGGTAAGTTTGGCACAATGTAAGTTCTTCGTTTTGATGTTGTTTGTGAAAACTTGTTAGTTATCTGAATTTGAAAAACTAGATGCAAGGATTGTTTATTGGTCAGTGCATTGGTGGAAATATCTTTGAAGAATGTCACTTGAGTTATCTCGTATTACATACTAGCATGATACCACTATAAAAGACCAAGAATTCAGAAGAAAAGGTAAGTAATATCATATGTAAGGCAATGTTAACACTAATACACACTAAGAAGAGTGTGCTGGTATCTTCAGAGTACAGGTTATGCTCTCATGTTAGTATCCAATATGTTTACTTAAGACATTAAATTTTCTGCATACTTACTGCAGTATGACCCTACTGTGATTTTTACCCTTTCGTACAGAAGGTGTAACTGCTCTGCTGAAACCATAGGTGCAAATGCTGATCCCCACCCCATCAGTAAACTGTTACCCTTGGCAAACTTTCACTTGGCACAAGTGCTTAACATCAAATATTGAAACAGTCGGCTATATCAGCTGCTAAATTAAGACCCAGAGAGAAAAGCAGGAGTGCAGATTTATAACTGTTACAGAAAGCAGGAGTACAGATTTGTAAATGTTACAGAAAGGGAGGCAGTGAAGTATGAAGCTAAATATATTTTTTCAGTTATCTTGRAAAATGATAATAAGGTCTGGAGGAGTAAGTTGCAAAAGAATGTGCCTACGTCTTAGCAGCAATAAAACACAAACCAAAGGGCCTGACAGTAAATTATGATGAGTTAGAAATTTATTAAGAAGAATTTGCATGACAGTCTGACAGAAAGATTCCTCATCAGCACTGAATGTTTCGAAATATTTTTCGAGAGTAGGTCAACATGAGTATCTCATGAGTGTTACTGTATTTCCTGGAGTAGAAGTGATTTGCAGGCAGGGTCTCTGCATAATACAAAGGGTGCCCTCCTGTTATGGAAAACAAACCACATTTTGGCTCTAAAATGGTACATTATCTTTCTCTGTTGAGCATAGTTTTTTTTAAGAGGAACACCAGGAAAATCAGAGAGAGGCTGCATTGTTGTCTGTACTCTTATTCATTAATTGCTTATGTGAAATGAAAAGAATGAATGTATTTTAATCTTAGCTTGGAATTCTCACTACAAAAACAAGTCCAGAACCAGCTCAGGGTACTTCTTCTAGAGTCACCTCCAGTTTCAGCCATGTGAATTGAACTGGTTCAATGGTCGCTGAGAATTTCATGGTCATTCTTTTTTCTTCCTCGACTGGAGGGGGAAAAAAAAAAAAAAAAGGGAGTTGTTTCTCTTTCCCCATATTTGTTGTTAAGGTAGATGATCTTTTCCGTTCAACTGCAAGACCACGATGGTGAAACTGTTTGAGCTAACTAAAATTCTGTGCAGGTGTAAGAGTTTAGTAATTTGTGTCTATTTGAAGGATTTGGAGCTGTGTAAAAGTAAATATATATCTAATTAGCCACTTCTGTATCTCTTCATCTTTTTTCCTTATTTTATGTTTGTCTTAATGTGCAAACAGCACAACATGGGCTGTCATTTTATTCTAGAAAATCCCATGTGTGCTTATGGCACTGCTTAAATAACAGTAATAGCAGTCATTTAAAAATAAGTATTTCCTGAAARGAGGGATATTAGAGGGAGTAACAACTTGAGTGCAATGCTAGTGAGAAAATGACTTGCCATTCAGTCATGATGGGGTGGAGCAATTAGCGTCCTCCAGTTCGCTCTCCCTGGCGTATTAGGCAGTAATTACTGCTGCGCTTCTCCCTGGGGCATCAAGTGCCAGGGGAACAGTTGACGCTTTGTGAAGTGCCATCTGCAGCGGGTCAGACAAGTCCCATTGTTTGTGGGCTCTAACTGGCTGCAGCAGTTGCCAGGCTTGACATCTGTGGTGGCCACACTGCTGAATTACGTCGTTTCTGAGGCCAGAAACTTAAGGGAACTGGGTTGCTGTTCCGTTAGGGTGTATTGTAACCCGTGTCTTGTGCCTTTGTCTGGATGTGTCCCTTGGCAAAGTCAGAGTCCGTAAATAAAAACTGTGTTTTTCACTTGTGCTGATGGGTTATTTGAAATTGCTGTCCTGCTTTCTGTGCGTTTTCTTAGGTAGGCAGTTCTGATACGGACAGCGGTTCTATACTGCTGTGTRCTGTTCTCTAGAGGATGTATGTTCTGATATAGCTGTACTCATGGTAATATTACATGATTTTGTGATTGTTTATAAGAAGGCTTGGGAAAAGAAGGCAAAAGTGTTATTCAACCATACATTTGAATTAAAGGAAATGAAAGTTTGACTCCTTAAACAGTGAAATAAGAGATGACTTTGCAATTTTTTGTGTTAAGATTGCTGTTTGGGGATGTAAGAGTATAGGTAAATTCTTTGGCTTCTGTTAGCACTTAAAGTGGTTAGGCAGTGGCAGGTGAACAATTGACTGATGGATAGGAATGTTTGTAGCTGTGAGCACGTAGCTTGTTGTTCTGTGCAGCAAATGCAGTGTGATGCTTCCTAATAGGCTGAGTGTGTGAACGGGCTCCAGCTGGCCTTGGAAATCTACTCATCTTTTTGTTCTGTAAAAGCTGACATTTTTTTTTTACACTGCAGTAACTAAAATTATGTGTTTGACAGCCATGAAGAACTTTACTCCAGTCGTCCATACGGAGCACTAGATTCTGGCTTCAATAGTGTGGACAGCGGAGACAAAAGATGGTCAGGGAATGAAGTAAGTGTTGTAGTTTTATTTAYGTTGAATGCAAGTACAGGGAGATAAGATAAAAAGGGTAGGTTTGGAAACATGCTCAATAGATAATATCGTAAGTTTTTGGAGCAATAAAACTTGGAGAGTGTACATTTTATTGCTTTTCTCAAGAAAATCCTAAGTTATTTTAGAGCAAAGAATTTTATGCGATTTATACAGTTCTATACTGGATGAATGCAAAGTTGGAAATAAGAAGAGGAATGTGTAAAACAGTGCGTGACCAATTAATTTATTGAAGCATAACAGGTAACAAAAAGGGAATTTCTCATTAAACAAAACAAAAAAGCTAATCACYATATCATATTACATTTTTGAGTCACCTTCAATTACTCATGAATTATTGTTTCTATAAAATAAATCAGGACTGAAAATTAAACTTCAAAAGTGAGATGGAGATTACATAATCTTACTTTTACAGCTTTTATTTAAAATGCTAAAAATAAAATCTCTTTGTCATTTATAAGCCATAAAATGGGCTCTCCTAGTGAGCAGGCCATCAATTATTTTTCTTAGGAAGATGTTCCCTCTTTGTCTTGGAAGAACTAGAAAAGGCAGAAGCCAAGATGAAAAGCTTCCCCACAAGCTACCCTCTGAATCCCTGCTTGTGCCCCACCKGTTTATTTGGAAGAGCTCTAGTACTTCCATCCCCAGACATTTTAAAGCACCTGCAGATCTTGCAGAGAAAAGCAAGACTGTAGGCCGATGAGTCTTTAGGAAAGCTTAAATATGTGTTTAAAACCAGTATCTTTTTAGCTGTGTTTTGCTTTAAATAAGTGTTTTGGGGGCACAAGACAGGAGAGTTCAAGTGAAAATACAAATTGACAGCAGCTAAACATCTGAGCTAAGCCGCACAATAAAATGTTTCCAAATAAAAGCGTGTTCCCTGGTTTCCCTGTCTGCTCCTAAAGCCTACAGATGAGTTCTCCGACCTCCCTTTGCGTGTGGCAGAGATCACTAAGGAACAGCGACTGCGAAGAGAGAGCCAGTATCAAGAAAACAGAGGTAGCACAGTCGTAACTAACGGTGGAGGTAAATAGGCATCTTTCTTACTATATTTATTGTCTGTCATTCCAAAATATTTGCTGTAAATTGTTTTAAGAGGAAGAAATGGAAAGGTCTAAGTGGAATTATACTAAAAGARCACTGTGTATACAGTATATTAAGGATGTTACAAAGTAAAATCAAGTAGTGTCAGAATTGAGATGATATGTGAATCATTAGATAGGTCAGCTTCTGCAAATGTGCTCTGCTTGTTTCCAGTTACTTCTAACTGTGTTTTGGAATCGTGACTTTCACTGCGTGGGGTTTGCTGCTTGAGCTAATGGGAAAAACTTGCAGTAGGAGTAAACTGTCCGTGACCCATGTCAGAATGAGATGAGGAGTTTTGCCAGCAAATTTCCTATTTCCAAACGGCAGAAATGTGTTTAGATAGAAATCTTGTGTTTCAGTCCAAACACACGACAGGTATTTTGTAGCAACTTTTCTTTTTAACACTTTCTCAGTTCATTGCCCTGTAGTTTGCGGGTGTCACCCTTGTATTTGTTCGAGGTGATAGTGCTTCCTTCAAATGAGCTTCCGACAATCCCCTGTTATCTCTGGCCTACAGCCCAGTCCTCCTTTTGGTGCTATCTCCCGATTTTAATATTCTTCCAGGTCTTTGCTTTTGTTGATCCATTCTCTCTCCTGCACGCTACTTATTACTAGATGCCTTTCTCATTCCAACGTAGTCTGATTATTTCAGCCTCTTGCCCAGTGGCTCCCTGTTTCCCTTTCCCTTAATGGTTCTGATTYGTGTTCCCTGTGTCTTCAGTCTATCTCTTCCCAGCTAGTCTTAGTCTTCCCACYCCAGCTCCCACTTTTCCTTCTCTCTTTTTCCCACCTCATCTTCTTTTAGTCCTACTCTTCTTCATGRCAAAATTTTGCTTTCTTTGCCACCTTCTAGAAATATCTGAAACTTTTGAATTGCCTTAAACTTACACACGCACAGACAAAAACAAAAATCAGTTTAAACAGTCAAATTTGGCAAGGTTGGAAGAATTGAAAGCGTGGTGTTATGGGAAGCTGTGGGCAGCCTCAATAACRGGTAGTGCTGCCAGCCCTGCCTCTCAGACTAACTTAATTTTGTTCTTGGAGTTTTGTGCACCAGACATTTTGAAATGCCTCCCTAGTCTTAAGATGGAGCGTGGTCAGGTCATGAGGAAGAGCATCTGAAGGAGGCACAAGCCACAGCAKGCGGCTGTCAGTGGTGCCGGAGACCCTTTCCAGTTCTGTCCCGAGCTCTTAATGCAGTTACTAATTTAGTTCATCCTCTACTGCATTATTTCYCTTTAATAAGCAAGGCTGGAAAGAAGTTTCTGAAGATTCGAAACTGAGATTTGGAGATTTAATGAAGCCAAAGGATAGAGGAATGCTGTTTTGGATGGTTGCAGTAGCAGAGGAGGTGGCTTTGGCAGTAACAGTTGCTGGATTGTGTGGCGAGGCAAAGAGAAGTCTGTTTTAGACAAGCAGGAAGGCGGGGGGGTGAGCAGAGAAAGAATGTCTGCAAGAGTCTGGAGCAAGGTTGGGGAGGGTTTGAAGAACAAGAAAGCTCTGGTGYTCAGAGAAGGGGCTTCATAGTTTGTCCTGCATCCTCAGCACAGTGTTTCTCAAGACAGTAGTTTGCTCCATGCCATGACTTTCAAGTCCCTGGACAGAATGTGTAGAAGCAGCAGCAAGTTAAAAAATGCGTATATTTTGCTATTGGGGAAAAAAAAAAGACCAAAAACCCACAGTATCTGCTTACTTTTGCAGTGACCCAAAAAAGGAAAAAAATCCTCAAGCATAAATTTCAACAGAACATGCTTGATGCATCTTTTTCTCGCTGCTTTTCAAAAAGCATTCATTTTATCATTATTTCAAAATCTGATGGTTAATGAATGTTAGCAGACCAGGCAGAATTCAAGAGCTTTCAAACTGAGCTTTCCCATATGGAAGAACTGTAGGTCTTAGTTCCTGATGTGGATTTCATGATGTTGTTTAGTCTGCCCCTCCTGCTGATTATCTAATTCTCTGTGTTTCCTTTGTGTATGTATGTCAAGTGGAACATGACCTCGATCAGATTGACTATATTGACAGCTGTGCCACAGAGGAGGAGGAGGAAGAGGTGAGGCAACCCAAGGGCATGGACGCAGACAGCCTCAGCTCACAGTTCATGGCGTATATTGACCAGCGGCGAATCTCTAACGAGGTTGTGCTTTTACTTAAATTCGTTAAGTTCATATGCTCCAGGAAAGCCTTTGATTGGTRTTAATGGTTGGCTTCTTGCCCTTGGAGGGTTTTTTGGTTTAAAAAAACAGATACGTCTAAGTCTGGTTTGGAGCAAGAGCACTACTTTGTGCTTTGTAGGTCAGAGCTGGAGTGTTAAGCTACCCAAGTAGCTTTTAGGGTACATGGAATGAATGTGAAATAGCAATAATGTTTTCCTCTCATGTGTGTTGCTATAAGTGTGTAACTGATGATATCTGGAATGCTGATTGTATTTACTTGGTAATACTGCATGAATATCGTCTTTCTCAAGGGCAGACTTTGAGTGTTATCTGCATAAAGAGGTAGTACAGCAATCTTGAAAGTGCATTGGTTTGTTCATGTTGATTAGAAGTTATTTGTTAGTAAACTTGCTGTTTTGAGCATCCATTCTAAGTTTAGACTAGCTTAAATTCTAGACTCTCTGAAAAGTCTGAAGACTTACAACAAACAATTACTTTTTCTCAGCTAGCCTTGAGAAAGGCTTTGAAATGTTGCCAGTGGTCCAGACTGGATATGTACATGCTCACCTTTCTGAACAAAAAATATCTGTAGTTTGAGGAAAATGTGGCACTAAGCTGTTTTTCCATCAATACAAGAATACATTGAGTAATAAATAAAATATTGCTAGACAGATTAGTTCTCTAGACAACTTTTTTTACACGTGAAGAGGCATGAGTGGCTCTGAGAATTGCCTTGTTTTCTCCCCTCAAAGTCTTTCTTTTTCCCAATACATCTAAATTGTATSTTTTTAATTTTTGTTCTCAGGTATCCTTTTGTTTAGGTTGATGTCTAATACTTGCACTGAAATGCTGCAGTTTAGAAAATCTGAATAATATCACAGCAGTACAAATCCTGAGAGTCAGGACACATGTACCTGTTTCCYCACAACGTCCTGAAGAGGAACTTAGTTTTCACGTGTTTTCCAACAGCATTCACATTATACTGTGTTAATAATAGCAGCTTTAATGATTGTTTRCTATCCAAATGATGTCTAGAACAGACAAGTGCAATAATTCTGGAAAATTGACTGTGACTTTTCTTTAGCTTCTGCATTGTTTTCTGACTGCACAAACATTAGCATGCATTTGCTCAAAGTTCACTRAAGTTGTTTTGAAATTGCATGAATTGACAAGATTGCATTATTTGCTATTTRTAGTAGCTGCTGCTGTGAACACGTGGAGAACACTGTTCTCTGCTACAGTCGCTTGGATGCTAAGCATTGGAGCGTCTCTTCTGAAATCAAACTAAAGAAACAGATTCCTAGCCAAGGAATCTTTCTCTATGGGCTTTTAGTATCCTTGTAGGAGCTTGGTCCTCTTATTTCGTGTACATTATATTATTGGTTATGGGTRAAAATGAGTGACACAAATATCTTTTGGAGATGGATGCGTTTTGCAATCAAATCAGAGAGACTCATTCCTTTTGAAGCACAGACATAAGACCRAACTCAAAAGAAGCTACTGGTAATACAAGCTGAAGACTCGGTTAGGTGAAAATAGTGAAAAGACATTGATGTACATCCAAAAAAGAAGTTGTTAAAGTATTTTGAGTACCAGTATTTAAAATATCCCCCTACRAAGCCGTTCTCTGACATTCATCAGCAGTATTCAGAATGTGTTGCTAGCTTCATCTTTTGTGTTACTTTTGCTTAGGGTTCACATGTAAAACCTGTAGCTGTCAGAGAATTTCAGAGAACAGACGATGCCAGGCGATATTTACATCAAAATAGGTAAGAATATGTAGTAACAGTAATTTTATACAAAATTTATGATGAATGCGGAGCACATATTTGCTAACTGGTTATGTTTAAAAAATGGCATTTTCTTTAGCTTTTCCAGATATATGCATGGCACTTCCCGAGTAAGCTGTTGTCCCAGATGAGGGATTCATATTCTGATGGTGGCAGTGAGCAAAAGACTGCAGTAGTCTAGAAAAAAATAGTCTTTAAATCATTTGCTTAAAGAAATCTGCCTAGTTAAAATTGGCACATTTTAACTACGTTAATGCGTTTTTTGAGGGAATTAATTTGTGTTGTGATTAAATAGCTACCTTAAGCTAAATAACTTTAAAAAGACAGAAGGGATAAATGTACTGCAGGTTTAGAGGAAGCATAAGAAGGCAGTTACCATGGAGTAACGGATGTGCTGTGAAGTCATGTTCTTCATTACCTCTCGGTGGCTGTAATATTCTAGGGGTTTATTTGAGATTAGTTGGGTGATTTAAAATCAATTTAATTAAAAACAAACCTTCCTCTGGCATAATGATGGATTTACATCACTGGAGGAAGGGAACAGAAGACTGCATAGTTGTTTAGTTTAACAAAGTAGACTTTAGAATTTCACCAGTGCTTCAAAATGTTTGGTTTGTTAGAGGGTTAGTGCTTACCCTGAAAAATTAGGTCAGAGTTGGACAGGATATAAATGAGGTGGCAAGGATTGAAAAGAGATTTCTGGGTGTCTAGTTGAAAGAATAGCAGATAAGCAAATATGTAGCTTCTTGCTAGTGCAGCTAAAATGAAAAGTGACAGAACGTTAACATGGCTTTGAGGTGCCTCAGTATTTTGTGGAGTGAAAGAGCATGAGCAAGAGCTTGGCAGAAAATTGACTGGATTGTACTAGGTTAATTWAAAAAAAATGAAAGCTGCTAGCTTTTAAGTATGTCGTTATTTATGCTGTCAGTAGAAATTCATTTTAATGGCATTCAAAAACAGTTTTCAAAGGGAAAATGAAATGAAGAACAGTGCGTAAATTTCTCCAAAATTTTGATGATTCGTTCAGTAAGGATTTTAACATCTGCAGTCTGAGTGTAAATATTGATAGAATAGGGGGTAACTCCTTCAGCATATGCCAGCATTCCTATAGTGTCCACAGGGAAGGCATGAAATAATATAGCAGTTTGCCATGTCTCCCAAAAGAAGCGGGTGCACTTGGGCTGAAAGACTGAGAGTCTTCTGATGTGTGGGGTATTTTTTTTCTTTTTATTCCTGTTTGAATGTTTGTGGTTGACTTGGAAATAATAAGAGACTTTACAAACACCAACTTGCATGACGCATCTGAAGGAAATAAGACTGGGTCAGATAGCCAGGAAAGAGTAACTGTTTACACACAAGATTTCGACAGACCAGTGATAGAGGCAACTGTAGCTCACTCGGATGTCCAGCATTTTCAGAATTTTTACGTGGAGTTGGTAGTGGATCTTTATGCAGAGGTAAAAGATCTAAATGAATTGTTCATACCTTGCTACAGCAGAGTGAACTTCTTAATGAGGCACCAAAAATGGATCATAATGTTACTGCCTTCAAAATTCAGGAAAAAGAGCTATATGACAATTAATCATTGTCTTATATTAAGCTTATATTAGTGGAATATTTCATTTGTGACAACCACAAGCTGTAAACTGCTTCCACCATAACTCTTTGCAAATGCCTTGGCAGGCAGCCTRTTTTTTTTCACCATACTGGAGCCATTAAAACTCTTGAAGAGTTGGATGTAATGCAGACTTCATCTCGAGAGTACTTAAGTTAGTTGATTCAATTCAGCAAGTAGAACTTGTGCCTGTGAGAGGCCTGTGGTGCATTCTGACTCCAGGCTGCGTGTGCTCAGATCTGGATATGSATCTTGCTTCTCGGCACTTAGTTGAGSCCAGTCCTGTGCTCTCAGAACAGCACAGCAGTGTATCTGTCATGTGTGTCACTGTCAAGTGACAGAGGAGACCTGTAGCCTAGGGACCTTCCACATCTCCTGACCTCTCCATGTGGGTGAGATTAATTCTCTGCATATAGACATTGTGGGCGTTGATTTTTTGGAAATGCACTTTTAGGTTTCTCTCTCTTACACAGTTGCACCATGAGAGAAAGTTTCTAAGTTGAGGCTGTCAGAATAAACTGCTCCAACTTCCACTTTCTTTCCAGGAGACAACAGAGCAGGGAACTTGCTGGTACTTGGGGATTGTTTTGGTGTTAGCAGCAGTCTTCTGGTGAAGAACTGACAGCAAAATCTCACTTTTCCTGTTGATGTGATAGATATGAGACAGATCAGTATTTATTTACTTGGGGGCCTCGATGACTTTAGCACTGAAAGTCATCRTTTCATCAAGGAAGTGAGGTTTGTTCTGAAAGTATCACAGAAGATAATGTTTAAAAATAGTAATACTGCTCTATTTTCAGAGCAGTATAAGGTCCATAATAACCACAGTCTTGAAGGAAGCTTTGTATATTTAAATAAGTTTTTTAAGCAAATTACATYCTCTAAACAATTGCAGCAAATGAAATCCAACTTAGTATAGCAACATAATTTTTTAAGTCATCCTAAATTTTCCATTTGTTGTTTTACAAAGCTAGTTGTTCAGGCAACTACTTTTACAAATAACAGTAACTTATATAAAAATAAATCTGGCAGTAGTTTATATGCATCAGTGGCCAATGCACCTTCCACCTGATGTTTACCTGCAGGGATACTGATGAGTTACGAAGACCTGAAACTTTAAATTTGATGCAGGACAGAGAGCAACACCGAGTACTAAGGAATTATGTGGACAGGACAGAGAGGTAGGGAAGAGAAGCATATAGTTTCTGTTGAATTTTTTTATTATTATTAATTTTGCTAAATAACAGTGGTAACCAGCTGCTCCTTTATGTGAAGAACATATGAAAAGTTTGCAAGCTGGTTACCTAATCAGCTCCTAGATCATGCCTGTTAGCTATTGGATGTGTCAATATAGTAAGCCAAACGTACAATCCTACTGATGGATCTTGAGCTGTAAAAGAAGTTTATCTCTGCTCCTGAAGTGTGATAGAAACTGTTGTCCAGAATTGATCGTTATTGCAGCAGTTGGTTTAACAGCTTACCTTGCTACTCTTCTATAGTTGATGAGATTTGTGCATTGCTGACAACTGATGTTTAAGGTAAAACTGATATTGAAGGTAAAAAGTGCACTTACTCTGTTTTTCATTTGTCAGGCCGTTGGCTGATTCACCTCACTTTCTCTCACTATCAAGTCATCACAGTCAGGTAACACATTGAACTCCTTTGTCTTATTCTTTTGCATAAGCTTAATAGAAAAGCAGGCTTGCTTTCCTCTGTATCCTCCCTTTCCTTCCTTCGGTAGCTCTGTCTCTACAGCCTGGTGCCTTGTTTTGTTGCAGGTGCCCAACGCAGACCCCGAGCTGCACCACAGGCACATCGAGCGTGCCCGRCGGGAAGCCCAGCTAGCAGCGCTTCAGTACGAGGAAGAGAGGATGAGAACAAAACAGATCCAGAGAGAAGCTGTCCTTGACTTTGTTAAAGTACCTCCTTTTAATACCCATTTGATACCAAACCTTTGTCTTTTCTGGTCAGTCAGTGAATATTAATTTCCAGGAACATAAAGATGTATACATTGCAGCTTTGAGCATGCATGGTATTTTATAAAGCAAATGGAGAAACAGCATTTACTCCATTCACAGTTCATGCTATGGACAAAGCTAGAATTGGAGAGGAAGATGAAATAGATTTACCCAAAATCTTCGTTGCAAAGAATTCTGTTTCTCCCTAGCAGTCCTCTCATTCTCTCAGTTTGTCATCTTTATAGATATGACAGGGCTGGTGTAAGGAAGGAGGAGTCTTAATTTGGGAAAACTCAAAGAATTTTAAACAGAAATTTAGCACAGAAGAAAGCAGTCCTATGCACAGGAAGATTATGTTCCCTGACCTATTTCCATATTTTATGATGCAGAAATAGGTTTTACGCAGGTAAAGGAACAGTGCAGATTTATGAGAYGGCAGCTGCTCTGTGGCACAGCCCGTCTGCTTTCGCTTTCATTGCATCCAGTGTGAAGTAGTCAGCTTTGCTTTTATAATTCCCTGTAATCCATAATACAGTTTAACACACAAGCCTGTAAATAGGCCAGTTCATTTGGATTTGTCTTGCTGTTTACTGCTCTGATGACCTACCAGATCTTGTCATCACACATTCAAGAAGTGCCACAGTTAATACTTTGGGATTAGGATGGTCTGCAAAGAGGAAAAGAATATTATTTTACATTTGTATAATGTGTAACATTTATTTTAGGAAAAGACCTTTAACTGTCTGAAGCTAGGCTTTTCGTTAATACTAGCTCATCTCCAACCCCTGGCAATGCTGTAGAAAAGCTGCCTTTATTATAGATTCAGCTCTGCCTTTTAGTTGAAGGCATTTAAGCATTTAAAATGCATTTTGTTCCTTGATGAGCCTTTTTTTTTGTTTGTTTTCTGGTTTTTGTATTCTATTGCCTTTGTTATTCATGAGCACTTTATTCTCAGCAAGTTGTTCCTCCCTTGGGTTATATTTGGGATTCATTATGCATCTTTAATATCCAACAACAATGAGGGAGGTTC